ATGGAATTCTGGAGAGAACCAATATATTTTAGTAAGTCAGGATGTTTGCTCATACAAAGTTATGATGATTATCACTGTGAAGATTTGTGTACTGCTGGGTGGTATTAACATATAGGCATGTTTATAAAATATTAGACTAAGAGAAAAAGAGTAAATGTGACTGCTTTCTCAATCATGTATTTAATCTTTTATCAAACATTTTATTGAGACTGCTAACTACCCTGGCAAAAGAGAAATAGGAGACAGAAGTATAGCTCTACAATCTAGGCAGAAAGAAGGGGTTTTATTTTGTTTTGTTTCTTAGTTCTTTCTTCAGCCTTACCCTAATTTAATTTTAAGTTATTCCCAATCCAATTCTTTCCATCACAATAGAGATGCAATAAATACTAAATAAGACAAGTAATAAAATGCCCATGAAGTTGAAAATACTGTCAGTCAACCTAGTACGGGTGAAAAAAATTTGTTTGCTAAAATTTAGTTATTATGTTTAAAAACTTATTTTTATTTTATTTATTATTTATTTATGGTGGAGATGATTATTGTAAAAGGTCCATAAGTTTAGGGACTTTGTCTTTATGCCATAGAAATTTTATAGCTACCCCCTAGGACAACAGGTTGTTTTAGAGCTCAGATTTGTGAATACCAATTATTAAAATCTCTGCAAAAAGTATGGCTCTGAGTTCACATCGTTGAGGCTGTAGGACCTCTTTTTTTTTGTTTGTTCTTCCTTTATGAGCCAAGCAAAGACATGAAAACAAACCTGAAATCTCATTACCTTCAGTTACCTGAGCAGATTATGTCAAATTATTTTATTCAGCAAATCCTCAAAGTGTCTTAAATGTTAAAGGAGAAAAATCATAGAAAAACAACAAGAATTGGTAGTCTGCGAATTTGAAAGAGCTCATTATCTGTTCATTTTCAGAAGTCCCGGAGACTTTTGTGCCTAAAATATCCCTTCCAGTCCCTCTTATGAGGGCATCTAAAAATATTTAGCAGTAGGTTTAATGACAAAACTCATCTCTTCCACCAAAATGTTCTTTCGAAACTGCTTCTGAGACAACCTCACACCAAGGAAGAAAAAAATGATTATGCAGCTTAGGTTTATCCCCAGAGCATGCCTCCGGGTCTAGCAGAACCCAATCTTTAGGACACCCAGTTACTGTCTGTACCTAGCATCTTGACTGACATGTGGACCTTTGAATAAAGAAACCATCACCAGAGTGTCAAACTAAAACAAATTAAAATCAAAATCCCACTGCACAAGATACTCAACTTGATGTTAGAATGAATGCCTCTGGCTTATAGGTTGTTTTACTAAAAACTGTATTTTAGAAGTGTATTTTCTTTCATTTCATGTGTCTCATTTCCAACTAACTAGTAAGAAACTTCTTGCCCACATACCCTGTATATTTTTGTCTCCCTATCCTTTCCTAGAGTGACCTCATTTTAAAGGACAAGAATTTCTCTAGAACAGTTACACATAGTTGGAAGAAAGGACAGTGATAGACCATTCCAATTAGATTATCATGATCAAATCTCACTAAAGTCTTGCAGATATCCAGAAAATGACTGTAATTTTCTCTATCATTTTGGAAGAACAGATAGAATTAAAATAATTAATTCTGATTAAAGTTTTTCACTTGCATTAATGGATACTTATACGCTCTTCATGTGTGAGTGAAAAGTCAAGTCTTTATCCAAGTGACCTATGGGCTTTTTTATAAAACCTGTAATACTCATTTAGGCCACAGATACCCGCCACCCTGCAAGGTGTTTCTGATTAAGCTCAGCCTAAAAGACCTGTTAGACTCCACTGAGCGTGGGGACACTCTAGAGACAAGTAACAAAAACAAATGGAAATAAAGTTGAAAGTGTAAACAAGTCATTAACCTATGGAGTATAATATATTCTAAACACAAAATAAACTATAAAGAGGATAAGAGAAGAAAAGCTCCAAAATATAACTGCTAAGAATTCTGATTGCCTCACTAAGAAATTCTGATGCATTTAAGAAGCAGAAGAAGTCAGAAGGAATTTGAAGTAGGGTGGGGCCTTCAGAAGATGAACAAGTTGATTGATTTATTTCTGTTTAACTGTGACACAAGCAGAAGGAAGATTCTCACGTGCTTCCAAGCCATCCCATTTTGTACTAACAATGCAAGTACTTTTTTGGTTGAAATAAATTCATTAAGATTAAAGTGTAGTTTAGAGTGTAAAAGTGATTAAGGTGCAAAATGTGTATGTACCAGTTCCCCAACATGAATGTAGTTATTTTGTGTCATAAACATATACTGATGGTTTATACTTTATAGATAATCTTAGAACCTCATTACTCAGATTTTCTCTCCATTTTGTCAATGTAGAAAATTGGTCATTCGTCAAATAAAAGTTCGTTATAGCTTTCCTTGATAATCTCTAAATTGTTAAGATAGTTTTCCCTTAACATAGGCTTTTCAGAAAACAGAAATTTTCCTGAAACTGAAAATTCATTTTTAGTTAAATAAAAGGGGAGGAAAAGACTTTTTTAGATGCATCCATAAAACCCAGGGACTTAAAACTCAGTTCTTTGATTAAAACTTTTTAATTTTAATTTAAAGTATAATAATAACCTGGATTATGACTCTATCTCACAGCACCATCTGTATTTTTCTATTTTATGGAATGGTTTCTGAGAGTTGCTGTTACTTGTGGAGCTAACTCTAAAGTGTCCGTTATTTACAAATAACCATAGAGACCTATGGCATGAAGAATTTGCATTTTGCTAAGACAGAAAGGTAAGTCACAGTAACAAAGTGGACACCAGGCATAAACTGTCCAGCTAGTGCATAAGTCTTACTAAGCATTCAGCATCCTTGTCTAAAGTAGTTTTTCATACTCAACCATTAGACAAGATGAAGAACAACTTTCATACTTGACCTTATTTCAGATAAAAACAACGAATCGTGAAGCCTTGCGGTGTAGAAATAAGTAAAAGATAGGCGCTGAACATGTCGAAGTCTGCTTTACAAAGTTTGAGAAAGCACCAGCTGGTTGAAAAAGCCAGCTGGTTGTTTTGCTGGAAAAAAATCTACAACTAGAAAATCTGGGGAAATCAATAGACGTTTGCCTTTAATTTCCAGAGCTTTAAGATTTTAAATCCTTTCTATGTGCTGACAGTAAGTCCCTTGGGGAGTAAACCATTTATTTTAGGAATGATAAAAATTGTCAAACAGTTGATTAAACTTTAAGGTCAAGTAGATTTATGCAAGTGAGATTAAAATTTTCATTTTTGTAGTGACTGAATCAGATTTAATGTTTGACTTTTTGATCACTTGGTAGTGAGTCATTTGACTGGTATTCTAATGATTTCTAAATTAAAATTTATAAGTAAAACATGCAACATTGTGTGTCCCCAAGGTTTAGCGAAACGGCTCATGTTAGTTCTACTGCATTTCCAAAATAATTAGATACTCATGGAGAATAACTTAAAGTATTATTACAAGAGCTAAAATAAATCAAAATCATTTGCTTTGTCAAAATAACTTATCTATCTATGAAGTTTTGAAAATGCAGTCTTTATTGGTTTAAAACTGCATCTGCAGTTTATGTGAAACACTTACAGTACAACTATACTTATCATTAGATGGAGACGCTGTGATGTCCTTCACCCTTTCCGAGTTGGAATTTTTATTATGCCTTGGAGAGCAGACTCATCATCATGTCTCCTGAATTCAGGCTTTGACAACAGGCCTTTCCCTTGGGCTGCTGCTGAGAGCTGTCAGTGATATTTCTCCGCGGGCGACAAGCTATCTTGTCCACGTGAGACAGGCACTGTGACTTAAGGCTGCCTAGTGAAAACAGTCAAGATGCGATGTCCCTTTGTATTTTGGATTCTTGTCTGCAAACACCAAAAGACACACAAACACGCTTAGCGATGGCTGTACATCGAGGGCATATTTATTTAGTTCTTAATACAAAGTTAAACTTAGCCCTAAATCATTAAAAACATGATTTCAACTTTGGGTTGGGGAGGGGGGGAAATACTGATAGAAAAGAAAACAAAGAATAACACCACCAACAAAAATAAACCTTTTTTTGTTGTTGTTGTTCCATTGATTGTCCTCTAAACCATTCATAGTTCAAAAGACACATGCAAGAAGTCCCAAGAGTTATGAGTTCGTACATTCTCATACATCAGGACGATGCCTTTCCAGATGCAGACTTGCTGCTATTTTTACATGAAGGTTTGCTGTTCTGAAAATGTAAACAGAACATCTAACTTCAGGTCTGCCCTATTCAACCATGGCCTAGACTGTCTGTGTGACCTTGGACAAGTCACCTTGGCCCTAAAAATGAACAAAAGCTTCCTGCAGCCCTCTCTGAGGTGCTGCTGTTCATGAGCAGCTGCCCGCAGGAGGCCTTCTGACGGCCAGTGAGCCCCACTTGCAAGAAAGTCCTAAAGCTCTTCCTAGCGAGGCGGGTCCTGGGGGCGCTTCCCTTGGACAAATGGGCATTTGAAACCTATTTGAAGCATTCAGCCAGGCCATTTGTGAGCCTCCTCTGTGGGGTGTGGACAAACAGGACCATCAAGGCGAGTGGAGGAGAGGATTGACAGCTAAAACCCTGGCTCTGTTGGGGTGTGGGGGAAGAATGTGCACCCCAGGATCCTGGGCCCAACCGCAGTGAACTTCATCACCAACTCCTCATGGCTCCTACGAGCTGCCAGCCTCCCTGCCATGGGTGACCCAAAAGAGCTTTATTCTGTTACTCCTCCAGTTGTTCCTAGACTGCACCTGGGTATAGGCAGCATCCCTAAGGCTCCAAGCATTTGCCCCTTGGGAGACAGAGTCGTATTTACATCACATAGAACTGCTCTTCAGTTGCAGCCTTAGTCTCTTCTCCTAAATAATTAGGGAGGTGCAAAGGGCGTCTGCAGTCTCTTGGTGCTACCCTTTCTGGTTCCCTGTCCCCCACATCCTCAAAGAAAAACGCACGATGAAGTTACCTCCAATTCCTTTTAGGTTAGGATTTTAAACAAGAAGACCGATTTTAGCAAAGTGCAGTCAAGATGTGGTTCCAAGGATAACATCAAACATTCTGCTGGGGGCGGAAATGTAAGTAGAAGCTTCTATCAGAAAGCTGTTCTGATTGTGTGGAACCAGCTGCACAACCAGCAAGCACCCCGTCTTTTTTCCTGCCTCCGTCCCAGCGCACCCCCCCCACTGCTGTCCTGCATCTCTCCTGGTGTGGTAGCTTGTCAGCCTTGCATTGGGGTGAGGGACTTTCCATCCTGCCATCACCGGTGAGCTTCTTACTTTCAGCTGGGAATCAAAGCCCTTGTTGGGGTGCACCATGGTTTTCCTGGGGATGACAAACCCACCTCACCTGCTGGCTTGTTTTGCTGGCCCTTCTGTCTTCAAGCTGTCCCCTCACGCTGTCTGTTTTCCTGTAACAGTTAGCTAGGCTCACACTTTTCTAGTTTCAATTAAAATTATCCTTGAGGCGAAAACTGATGATACACTTGAAATGCCCGAAGTGTTTAATGTCAGTCTTACAGCGGCCCATTATGCATGAAGGTTAGAATATCATTTAGAACAAGACCAAACTGCTGAAGCGTGCTTCATCTATAATGTAAAGTGAGAGGATTCAAGTTCTACTGTACATGTTGTCTTAATGGGATTTTTCCTGTCCCTCTTATTTATTTAGTGGAAATAGTGTCACATGAGAGGAAATGAAGGATGAACTCATATTTTGTAAGCGTGGTTGAAGCGTAATTGAAATGGTCAGGCAGAGTCGAGCTAAAGGAAGCATGACTCTTGCTGAAATAGGAATAATGTTTAAAAGGTGACTCACGCTGACTGCTAGACAGATCCTGTTGTCTAAACGAGGCTCTGTAACTCGTAACTCAAGTGACTCACAGGGTATTGACTCCGGATTCCTCAGGAGTCCCCAGATAGCTCTTGGCTACTTGTTCCTCAGCTGGGCAAAGTGGAGTAGGCAGTGAAAAGAAAAACACAAGCAAGTGCCTGGTTACCTGGGAATCAAAGATGCTCCACTGAGCATAACAAGATCATTGTCAGGGGAAGTCCTTCGTGGCATTGCTGTGCTCTTTAAGGGACAGGGAACTAAACTCGGGGTCCATGCTTACACTGACATGGTTGCCTTCTCCCACATTCCCTTGATCCTCACACACCCAGTCCCAGGGCCCAGTGATCATCCTGAGGGGGCCAGAGGATGGGCACGCTGTCCTGCACTGCAGATGCTACTGGTCAAAACACAGTGAACAGCGGATAAATTGGGGTAAAGGTCATAAAGCTAGTAAAAACTTCCAACGAACCAAACCATAGTCTTAAACCTTCCTCTAGGGAAGAGACATCTACTTAAATACGCAGGTATCCTGGCTTCATCCCTTTGGTATCTCATTTCCGTGCACTCCTCACGCAGATGGACAAGATACATTTCCAGAAGCATCACTTCAAGTATTAAAGGAGAACAAACATGTTCACTAAAATCTTCAAAAAAAATATTGCTGTTACTTTATAATAGGGTATGCAGGAAATAAGTCATGGCTAAATGACTTATTATAATTTGATAACACAAAAGTACATTTTAGAACCTTGTTCTTCCTGTGTCTTAAAGCAATATGGGTCTTCTTGTAGCTATGAGCAATGTTGGTCACTGCTATGTAAAAATCACTTGATTAAAAATAATCCATCCTTTCTCTCAGCTTTTTGCTTGTGAAAAGATTTAACACAGTGTGGTTTAGTTCTCCAAGCAGAAGCTTGCCTCATTAATGCAAATATTTCTTCGCTCCTGCTGTTTTCTGCTAATAAAAATCTTCTGTTCCAGGATTTTTACTCACACAAGTTCTTCTTCCAACCCAAATTGGGGTGAGGGGCACATAGGGAATTATGTTTTCCTGTGTGTATTAGTGTCCGTGTGTGTGTGTGTGTGTGTGTGTGTGTGTGTGTGTGTGTATGTGGGAAGCTGGTTGCTGGACCTGTGATGTGTTGTGATTTATGTTACTAGATTTCATGTATGACCTTGAAGGTTTTTCCATGCCTGATTCTTTGTTGTGTTTTGTGTGGCTCACACAGGTACAGATTGTTACCAAGAAGATAGACGTAAGCCATGTGACATCCAAATGTGGCTCTCTGAAGAATATTCGCCACAGGCCAGGTAAATAAATGAGTTTTCAAAGTCTGACAGCTATTTAGTTGGATTCAGGAAATTACAAGCAAACTTTTTATTGCTAATGTGAAACACCAAATTGGAAAAGGGTTTCAAAATCCTGAAACTTCATGAATTTATTAATAGAAACTTAAGTGAAAAATCTCAAAGCATCTTCATTCAAGAGAAATGCCCTCAATTAACGTGTATAGGCTGCACTTCATGAAATAGGCTAAAAATTAAAAGGAATATAAGATGCATATCTTTCTAAACATGTAGCATGTTCATTGGAGCCCTTTCAAAACACATTGCATATAAAATATGTTGGGTCACGTATTCGTGTGTAACTTTGAAAGAATTATTTATCAGCATTTTTCCTGAAATCATTTTGTTATGTAAAATAAGGATTGTGTTTACCACAACTGAACAAACTGTGTAGCTGATGAATTTCTCAGGTCTTTATTAAGTCAGTAAATACTGTAGTCCCAAGGAGAATACACTGCTCCCCAGTTTATATAACCATAGACCCCCCTCTTTTAAAAAACACCTCATTGGACTTGTGTTTGAAATAGAATTTACAGTCATATTTACTGGGAGTTTGAAAATACGAATCTAACATGCTGTGAGTCATTTCTTCTATGTATCATATACGTTTGCTGAATTCTACTCATACATGTTATAAAGCATAGCTGTGAAATCTAGTTTTATTGACAGTATTTTGACATAATTTATAGATCCAGTTGTATGATGTAAGGACAAATGAAAGTAACCATGATTCTTACCACCAATGCTTGGAATCTTAGCATATAATCCAAATAACAGCTTATTCTCATTCATCATTTTCTCGAAATTTATCAGAAACAAAGTATAAAATAATTGAGCTAAGTAAGATTTCTGGCCAGAAGATCAATAAGACTTTATTGATTGAAACAGTGATTCATGGTAGAAAAACAAATAAAAAACATGCAGAAATCAGGCATCATTTTGTTGAAGATGCTCAGAAAGAGCCGAGGAGCTGATGGACATACACGTGGGTCTCCGTGACTGGTTCCGGAATCACTACTGCAGAAGTAGTGTCTGCTACTCCTCACAAAGGGGCAGCAACATGTCCAGCCAGCACTAGTACAGCAATTCCCCATCTGAAGCTGAAGTTTACACTGCACTAACTTTAAACTACTCTGTCCATGTATGCTTGAAGTATCTGCCCACAAGGCCTGGTTTCCTGCACAACACAAAAGAAAATGCTAGATTCTTTCAGTCTGGGTGATAAGGACAGAATCAGTCAAATTTTCCTAGGATCTGGATACACAGAAAAATAAGGAGCCATTCTTTGTATGATGTTTCTGGCCCTAAAAGACTATTGTCATAGGCTCCCACTTATTTCTAAATCTGGCTCCTGCTTCTATTGGGTGACTCAGAGAGCTCAATTCATAAAGAAGTGTAGCGTGGAGATTGTCAACACTCTGCTTTTTGCAGAGTTATGGAACATAGAAGATCTGAGGAAAAAATAAAGAAGATAGTCCCAAACTTTCAGGGTCTGAACTTCACTTCCAAAGCTTCATAAAAATTACAGTCTTTTAAAATTATGGCCTCTAGTGGGTAACAGAGTTCTTCAAAACCATAAGTGTAGATCACTGAATTCCAAGGGGATTCTCTAAAAATTGCACAAGAATTTAACCAGAAATTCTCTTTCAATTACCCAGCCCCATTTTCTGAATACATTCTGAATCAGTATTACATTATTATTTTTTCCTCTCTACAGACAGTTCAAAGAAAATGTAATAAATTTATATTGATATAATAATACATAATCAGAAAAAAAGCTTGTAAGAGTTAAGTTCTACAAAGGCTATCACAAAAAATTCCAAAATAAAATACCAAAAAAGCTGATCCCATCAAGTTGAAAGCCCAATATTCTCCAGCTTCTTTTGAATATAATTATGTTTTTGTGAATTATGGTTAGTCATACTAATCCCATCACAGCCCACAAGGCAGGTAAAAATGGGAAAAATAACACACCATTAAGAATCCATACCTTGAGGGAGTAATAACTACATATCTCCTAGAAACATGAGTTACCTATCAGTCTTCAGGAGATTGGACATATGTTTCTTCAAAATAAAAATCAGTAATATGTTATGACTTCAAGAGACCCCCCCAAGCAGTTGAGTATTAACATAAATATCTTTGTGGTACATGAGAAAAATACAACAAGGTTGAAGAGATCTGCAAAGCATTAACAGACTTCTCTCTTTGGTCTACAGAGAAATGCAAATATCAAGAATCCAAAATTGAGCAGTCTTACCTATGGTTCCAAGATCCCCTCAGACATTTTCCCTAAATCAGAATCCCAGTGTAATGCAAAGCATAGAAAGTCACCATCCACTGCCAGCCTCTTACAAGAATGCATATGGTTCAGACCAAGCTGATGAAAATGAACCAGATCTGTTAGGTGCAATATGGAGTCATAAAAAGGAGTCCAATGCAGCTTCTTTTCAGGTCAAAGTTTCCACAAACACTCAATAGTAGTCAAGGGAAGGGCTAAAGTACAACAGAAACCTACACAATGTAGAAGATTCCCTACATTTGGAAGCCTTAGAAAGCTATGCGGAAATGAGGAAGGCCACTCTGAAAGGTGGGGTGTCCACTGAAGGGAGCACCCTTGACAATCAGCAGAGCCTCAAGGCCCAGACTAGTCAGCGTTAGGTTAAAACCCTCCCCACGTTATCAGATCAAGTCAGCGCTAAACTAGTGCCATGGCATCTGTAGGAGAATGTCCTCTGATTCCTTTCCTTTGCTGTGCTAGCTGCTTTGAGAAGATCTTAAATCTTACTGGTTATAAACAACCCAGCTCCAGTCTCAATCCATCAGGGAATTTTTCAGTGTTGAAAATTTACAAATGACAGGAGGATTGGCTCCAGGACCTCCTGCAGATACCAGATCTGTGGATGCCCAAGTGTGTCATACAAAATTACATAGGATTTGCATAAAAACTATATATATATATATATATATATATCCACCTATAAATTTTAAATTATCTCACAAATACTTACAATGTAAGTGCCATATAAATCCTTCTTACATTGCTTAAGAACTGATGACAAGAAAAAGTGTTGCATGTATTCAGTGGTGATGCAACATTTTTTCCTAAACATTATCAATCCAAGGAAGCAGAATCAGTGGTTAGAATCCATGGGCCAGGTGCATACTGTCTGTATGTGCACCATTCCAGCCTCAAACTTCTTTGGATAAATGGTTTGCTACCAGGAAGAAAACTAATGTTTTATTTCAATTTAATTTATTCCATTTAGACTCCATCTGCCAAGTTTTAGACAAGATACAATCAAATATTTTTATTGTGTTCCTTTTAGCTCTTTTGGTATAACAATAAGAAAAAAATTATCTGATTTCTAAAGTAGAGAAAGAAGAAAAATATTAACATATGATGCAATCTGTGTAATGGTGTAACAATGAGGTCATCATTTTGGATCACTGGGAAATACCATTCAGACTACAAAATCAACTAGATTCCATTCACATCCGTGTTCAGGAGGATAGTAGGGGTCATGCCTGCCGTCCTCCCTGATCTATTGGCTGTACTCATTTTAGGGAAACAGTCATACAAATATTAGCTTTAATTTTAGCAAGGCCTTTAAAAACCTTTCTCCTCTCAAAGGTGGCGGGCGAGTGAAAATCGAGAGTGTAAAACTGGATTTCAAAGAAAAAGCCCAGGCTAAAGTGGGTTCACTGGACAACGCTCACCACGTACCAGGAGGGGGTAATGTCAAGGTAAGCCAGGCACGTGTTTAGGGGGATAAAAAGAAAAGAAAACAACTAAATGTGAAGTGCTCCTTGGCAAAATGGAAGCAGTGCCATTGGCACCAGCCTGGGGGCCCTGTGGGGTGCGTGTTTGGGTTCATGGGCTCCTGTGCCTGTCTTGAACAGATCGACAGCCAGAAGCTGAACTTCAGGGAGCACGCGAAGGCCCGCGTGGACCACGGGGCCGAGATCATCACGCAGTCCCCAGGCAGGTCCAGCGTGGCATCTCCCCGGCGACTCAGCAACGTCTCCTCCTCCGGAAGCATCAACCTGCTGGAATCCCCCCAGCTCGCCACGCTGGCCGAGGACGTCACTGCTGCCCTGGCCAAGCAAGGCTTATGAAGCCTCGTTTGGGTCGGAGGCATCGTGCCCAGGCGCGAGCTCTGGGCAGGAGTGACCTCTGAGCAGGGGTTCCAGGCATTCTTTACAAGCCCTATGATAAATGATCTCATCCCTAAACTCTAGTCATTGTTACAATTTTATATAAAAAATGAATAGTATATGCAGAAATCGACTTCCAGTTGCAACAGAAACACCCTGGCTTTACATGGGTACAATTGGACAGTTATTTTCGCTCTGCTCTGTTTTGCATGGAGTATTATTATTATTATTTTTAAAAGATGCATTTTTACCTTTCATGTGCCTGAAGGCTACCCATCTACGTTCCGAAAGGCCTTGTTAAAATCCAAGCTGCTCATTTCACCGTTCTGTTTCTGAGTGAAGAAGTAAAAACTGCCCGTCGTAACTTATTACAGGTTAAAATTCAGGCATCTGATTGCAGGAAGGGAAGAGCATGGAAGAAATGTTTTTTTTTTTTTAAAGCATTATTTTGTATAAATGGGAAGAAAGAGTCAGTTAAGTTATTAACATTTGGGACCTGGATAATTATATCAGAGTATCAATCCAATAAATTATTTAACTAAAAATGTTACAAAGCATTCGCTGTGGCTGAGGAAGCGATGTAAAAGTGTGTCTCCTAGGAACGATGCACTTTGATTAGGATGGATTCATGTCTGATTAGAATGTCAGTCGATCAGCTAGATTTATGTCCACACGACCAGTTCCACACCCCCTCTCCATCTGTTTGATACAGTATTATAGATATAAATATATATATATATATTTCTCTGTGGCCATTTGTGATACTTCCTCATATACTTGAATATTATACTTCTTTATTCACAGTATCTGTGTCTCCTGCACCCTTTGGTGTTGCAGTTTTAGGTATGTGAAAGTAGATGTTAGCAGGGTTCTCTCCCTATTGAAAAAACATGTTAAAAAAGACAAAAAGATTTAGCATGAAGTTGCTTTCTGTAACAACTCAAAACTGTAACCCTGTTTTAGTGCCAGATACAAGTCTCTCCCGTGATGCTAGAAAAAAATATTTTTCTTTGCTTTCACCAACACGGCGTTTATGGGGGTGGGTCCAGTTATACATAAAAGGGTTTACAGATTGTTGGTTTAAGATTATGGATTTATCTCATTTTAATCACAGAATAGTTTTGGTTTTATTCCCACACTCATTCATGCGACAAACCTCTTAAGACTTTTTCTTTCTTTCTTTCTTTTTTTCTTCATTTGCTAAAGTTGAAAATAAGCATGGTGATTTGGGACATGTTTTCCCATTCTTCCAAGTGATAGCTGTGTATTAAATTTTCTAATAGAAAGTGTTTGGCCTCCTAACCCAAAGCAAAGATCACTCAATCAAAAAGGAGAAATACAGTATTTTGAAAAACTATCACCATAAAATATTTGAGACACAGATATCTAAATGAATTTTTTTCTCTAGGACTTTGATACTGCACTCTGTAAAGGTACTTGGTGTGACTTATTTATTTATCAGTAGATAATATTGTTCTAACATAATTTACACTCTGGAAATCACAAGTCAATCAGGTAATTCCACTTGCAAATCATTCATCTTAGATTGCAACAATCAATGGTCTGAACAGGGCAGAGTTACCAAACTGGATGGATGCTTTTTAGCATCTCATCTGTTCTTTCTCTTGCTCAGGGCTTCTAGATTGGATCTAAACAGTGAAAGACATGGTCTCTTGGATCTTTGGTCCCTGTGAGACAAACTAGTTCCTGAATATAAAGGATGAGACGTAAGCATAGAACAGAAAACAAATAGAGAAATATCTAAGACTCAAAGCCAAGGAATGCAAAGATAGAAGACAAGGTTCCACTTTGATGAGCCATTGGATACAGCAAGAATGTGATTGCCACAAGAAAACCCTAGGAACGAAATTCTCCATTCTTTCTCAGCTAGGAGGTTTAAACAGGCAAATATGTCTTGGGCCATTTCTAAATAGGTTATTTTTGTAAAAATTTTAGCAACTACTGAGAATTAGGGATATGACACTTTGAGCCTAGTAAATGCTGTGAGACTTGATTTGATCGATTTTGGCTATCTGTTCATCACCTTCCCTAGAACTACACCAGGAAATAGGAGAAAGAATAGTTGTATGGAGAGTTAGGTATTTTCTTACATGTTTTGATAGTGTTAGATAGTGATTGACATTCTCTAGAAAAGCTTTGACCTGTGGGAAAAAAGTGTGTTTTCAACTTGGCTTGACTTTTCTTTTTTATAAAAGTGAAGACTAAGTAAACATGTCTACCTATTAAAATTCAGTATTTCCAAATACACATCCAAAATAAAAAGTTATATAAGGCACTAGCTTAATAGATTTGGCATTAAAGTAAGTGTTTATTCCTAATCACAACCAAATGATAATGACTAAGTACCCTTGTTTTGCATAAAAATGTTATTGTTTATACAATTAATAAAAATGGAACTGAATGTTTGCATTAGTAAAGCAAGAGAAACACAGGCTAAAATGTCTTTTTGTGGGGATATGAGGCAGATCCCATCTTACCTTTACTCTCAAGCTAACGACTTAAATTAAGCTTTTTGAGCACCACTTTCGTGGGGACACACATACGCTGATCTAGAAATGAAAGCTTCTTAGTTCCATTTCTAGATCTACTAATGCCAGTTTCTCTCTGGCTTTAGCCTTTGAGAACCTGTTTAAGCATACATAAGTAATCCAGAGCTGTGAAGAGTTAAAAGGCCAACTTCTCCAATGAACTCACTCTCTCCGGGTCACCTGCAGCTTACAATTGGATACCGCGCAACAGTGCAGGGAAGATCCGAGATCCTGATGAGTTTCAAAGGCCAGGTTCATTGAGGAAGCAATGAACCAGCTCGCTCTGGATTCACCTGCTGAGTTCCAGCAGGGTGATGGGCTGAAGCCCCCACCCATAAGCAAGACACCTGTGTAGCGCTTGGTAGGTTTGGCTGCAAGGAGGCTAGCATTAGGGTGCCATTACACAGTGGAATACGCTCATCCAGCAACACTGCAGGAGTGGGATCATCAACCAAGCTGTGACATCCTGTCAGTACTGTCAGTAAGAAAGAACCTGACTGGGGTTGATTATGCCACAGCTACAATTACTGTTTTTCTCCTATTTTTTTTTTTTTAGGCCACAAAAAGGAAAATAAATAATTCATAGTCTAAGCAGTGAAGATAAAATAGGTTCATAGTTTAGGAAAGCAAATGCCAGGCATTCCTGCTAAGGTTGATGTGTTAAAATCAGCACAGATGTTCATTTTTGGTTTTTTGGATTTGTGCGCTTTTTTTGTAACATCTAGAATTTTTAGCCTTGGTGTGTAGGTTGAGGCCAAGTCCCTCTGCAAGATAAAAGATGATTTTCAAACTCGAAACAATGTCAATCATAAAAGTCCACTTCAACTTTAGCAAAAAGAAAAAAAAATCAACAAAAATGTTTACTCTGTATGCTGGGATTCCAGGGTTCCAACAAGCCACTATAAATCTGTGGGGGGTTTCTTTCTTCTGATAATTCTAGAGCCTGTTACCATAGAAAGGCATTTCTTCGATGGCTGGTTGTAGTTAGTTCATGTTTTTCAATCAAATTTGCAAATGTATTTGTTGCTGTATAGTGATTGTTTTGCAAAATAAAATTGCTTGTCACCTCATGGCTTCTTTCAGCTTTTGTTGTTGTTTCTTCATTTTGGAGGAATGCATACATGTGTGCATGTGTATTCAACCCAATTAAAGAAAAATTGTGAAGATTACCATCTGTCGAATTCCTAGTATGTGTTAGCCCCCATACTAGAACTCATCTGATTGATAAGGGAATTGGTCTTTCATCACAACTGTAGACACAGGTTGCTGTTGCCAGTGACAGAAACTCAAATTTAAACTGGCTTCTGCATAGAGTTGAATTTACTGAAGTAACAGGTTAGTTGGGTATGTCTGCCCCAGGCGTGGTTGGACCTAAGCACTGAAGAGATGTTATCAAAAACTCTTCTGTCTCCTACTCTGGATGGAGACTCTCAGAAGATGCTATCAAGGATCTTTTTTTTCCAATTGTTGGTTCTGCTTCCTCTGGGCTTCAGTCTCAAGCAAGCACAACCTCCGTGATAGCACCAGAAACTCCAAAGTTTGCATCGTGCAAAGAGAGCAGGATGCCGCTTCCTGCCCTGCTCACAGTTTCTTTCTCATTCTATAAAACAAACACTAAAAACAAAAAAACTAAACCCCGGGAAAAACAGTATTTAATAGATTTCATCTTGCCTCGATTGGAAACAAAAAACTTTGAGAGAGCATATTAATATGAAATTTGATAGTAGCAACTGGTCATTTTCATGCATCTTATAAAAACATTTAAGATCCACTTATGTTTATCACTGGAGCGAGGTAAAATGAACATTTCTGAGGAGTTTCTTCCCGTTTTGCCATATTTTGATAACAAAACCTTCTTGTCAAGTGAGAAATGACAAAATTGCCATGTTCAGTAGCCTTGAGTTTATTAACACTTCCCTGTTACTTTTAATAGCAAAGGAAGAAAAAATAATAATAAAACCCAGCAAATGCTCCAGCCCCGTCGGGCCACCTCGATATGTTAAAGTCAGGGCTGATCTGCAGGCAGCTGCTGATTGACGGGCTTTTGGGCCATCGCTGCCTGCTTCTGACCACTCCACGCTGATATGCTGACCTCCTTTGTCCTCCTCTACTCTGTCACAGTGCAGAGCCATCACCATCCCACTCCAGATTCTCCCCTCCAAGGCTCGGGAGGCAATGGTGCTTCAGTAACGTCCTGATAGGCAAATACCTGGCCCTTGCAGAATCATGCCCTGACTGGATCACTGGTACAGTCTCCACCTCTCCCATGATCCTCGAGTGCTTGCTGATGAAAACTACCATGCCCATAGCCTCGAACTCTCGCTGTGAGATGCACAGTAGATGCCACAGAGGTGACTTGGGATCCGAAGGCCAGCAGCAGAGGGAGGCATGAGCAGCTAATGACCTCCCTGAGACCATCCCCGTGATTTGGGGCCCACACATGCCTATGGTAAGGAGTTTCTGTGTTCTGAGAATTCATCCCTATTTTAAACTCCACCCAACTGATATGGACATTAACAATGCATGCGTATTGGATGATTATAAACAGGCAGCCTTTTCATACATGTTGACGGCTAAGAATACTGCCCTTACTAGCATTCCCATTTTATAGCTAAAGTGAGTAATAACGTTCCTTTAAAATTTAAAATTTAATAACTTGGGCAGAATTCAAACAAGATGTCTCCTCTAATATACAGTGTTAGGCTTGACTTAATTAGGTACTCTACCTAGCAGTTTGTGTATTTGTCAACAACAAAGATACCAAGTACATGTATAAAAATCTCAGTTTTACATGCATAAATCTAATTTTAGAAAAAAGGATCATTAGCTTACTGCTAATTCAGAAAATGAAACAGAATTATGAATGATTAAAATATCTGTGTATAGGGGCTGGAGATTTAGCTCAGCGGCATAAGTACCTGCCTTGCAAGCAGGCAGTCGTGAGTTCGATCCCTGGTACCAATAAAAAACGAAAAAGACAAAAAAAAAAAAATATCTGTGTATAGAGAAATTCTGCTTTTAAAAGCTATCCAGTGACAACTATTAGACAAGAAGACACTGGAAAATTTTTCTGTGGTTCTTTGTCTAATATCACCCATGCGAGGTATCATTTCAGAAGTGACATCTGTATCCAGTAGAAAGGAACCAACAATATCTAAAATTCAACAGTTTATTTGGAAATTATGAGGAAAATTGGATAAAGAATTTATACTGCAACCACTCAGCAAGCAGTTGGATTTTTCACAGCGAATAAAGGTTTCTAATGTAAGTGTTAATTTGTCATGGACTTGGCACTGACTGTGCCACCATCCTTGCTTCCAGCACTACATGACTTTCTCAGAGGCTTTTTTTCTTCCTATATTATGACACAGATTTTTAAAAATTCTTGCTTTCATTACAAATATGGCATATTACATTTTCATTATGAAAACAAAAGTTCTACAGTTCTGAGCTCTACAGTGCACTACGTTAAATATGAACTTGCCTGAACATGCATGTAAATGGTCTTATTTGCTTTCAACTATTAGTAAAAAATGCTACTTTTCACTAGAATTAAGAAATTAAGACAGAAATAAATGCCTTGGAGACTTCATAGCCATTTTTCTGGGTCAAATGTAGAAAACGCAACAAGCACTTATTACATGGATAGAAAACTAGTGACATGGTATTTGTCTTATCCTATGTAACAAGTATGGTGATTGAGTAGACTCATATAGTCATCAAAACACAAATTTTTCTCTGCCATAGATCCTTACATATTATTCAGTGGGAGAAGAATCTTCCTCTGCCTCAAGCTAAAGACTTAGGCAAACCCATGACTTTCAAATCACTTTCAGATAATTAAATTCTGTGGGAGGTATTGATATAGGGAAGTGAAACTCCCAGCCTACTGTATGTCCGGTAAGAGTTTGTATTCTCTAAAATCGAAGAATGTATTTTAGAAACAACGGAGGTTAAAAGCACAGTATATTTATTGAGAGAAAGAAAGCTTCTGTCTGAGAGAGAGACAGAAGGGGTCCTGGGTGGGTTGCCAAAGACTCTGTCTTTTCCTGGGACTTTTATAGAGCAAAATCATGAGATTAAATGGCTCAAAAGTAGGGAAAAGTGGGAATTTGCAAGGTGGGCATTCTTAGAGAGCAGTGACTCGTCCCTAGGGATTGGAATGGTGACTCCTGATTTCAAGGTGATCCAGACTTAATCCCTAAGGATTATATTTAAGGATGTGGTGGTGTTTATTTTGCCTTCTGCCCTAAGATCTGGCCCATAGCAAGAGGCGTGTGTCTCCTCCAAGGTCCTCAGACATCTGGTCCTCTGTGCCGACTTCTTAGAGGGCCTAGTCCTGTCTGACTGCCTATAATATTTCTAACTAGCTCAGCTGCCTGTAACAGTATGAAGAGTCTTTTAATCCAATTCAGAAATTAAAAATTCCAGCCCACGTAGCAGTGAGAATCCTGAGCTCGATGGTGTAAAATGGGTTTGCCTGTGGCCAGTAGACCCATGGGCTTGGGGTAATGTCCTCCTGTTTTCCTCTCTGCAGACTTCGTTTCTCAGGGTGCTGGCTGTGCACCTTCAGGGAACCAAACTTCGCAGCATGGAGCTGTTACTCTGTGACCATCATGGTTTCAGCGGATGTTTTCTCTTTCTCACTGGACACCCAGTGTCCACCGGGAGTGTCTTTCTGCTGAGACTTCCCTCCATCCAGGTGGGCTTGTTGGACGGGACCCAGGACATCTCTCTCCAGCGTGCTCACCTTCCCCTCTCTGCATGTACACAGGACCAGAAACTCTAGCCGTGGAGGCAGCGCGTCACTCTGCAGTGCGCTCAGACCCCCCAGGAGAGCGGTTAGCCCTCTCCCAGCTACGAGATTTCCCAGTTTGTCAGGTCCCCCAACATCTCAGAACACATTTCAGGGCTCTCCAAGTAGCTCCTTTGAATCTTCCTTTTATTAAGCTAAGGGTAAGAAGTTAGCAATGTCTGTGTCTCCCTTAACCTGTGACCCCCCTCCCTCCTCTGTCCCCAGCCAGCATAGTGTTTCTGTCCAAAGAAGTCCCTTTGCAGTCTCTTCCCCATTTCCTCTCTGAGTTTCCCATTTCCATGTCCTTCACTAAGTCTTTGATACAATTCCCATTATAAGCTGCAGCTGGGAGGGGCCAAGGTCTTACTTTCACTTTTGTAACCTGCCACCAGTCAAGCCCTTAGTAAATTCTGGGGCCTACAGAATACCATTTTAACAACTCGTTTGCAACTGTCTTTTCTACACTTTTGGCTAATTTCACAATGCCTGTGCTCTTTTAAACAGAAAATGAATCAGTGCCACAAACACTTCTTGAGTGACTCCAAAATCCTCACCTGCCCAGTGCCCTGGAGGCTTAGGACTCACTGTGGGTGTCAGCCTGGAGGCTTTCAGAATCAAGGCAGGAGCCTTCTCTTAACCTCAACCTCCAGGCCCAGATACAAGGGTCAGGGAGGAAAGCTGACTGGAAGGGGATTTCTAAAGCAAAGCAGAGTCATTAATGAAGGATACATTCTCCACAGAAAGTCCTAAGTGGGTGAAACGAAATGAGGCCAGATTTGAAAAAGAAAGAGAGACAGAAAGACAGAGAGCCAGACAAAGAAAGAAAAGAGGGAGAGAGAGGGAAAAGGAGAGAATGAATTAAATACTTTGACAGAGAAATGACGTGATCAGAATTTTAAAAAGAGTGGTTTTGGCAACACAAGATTAGATTAGAAGAGATTAGTGTTGGGGAAACCAGGGCAAAGTGACAGGAGCCCACCCAGGTGAGAACGGCAGTGAGCATCTGGAGGAAAGAACAAGTCTAAAACACTTTGGGGCCAGGCTGTAATCCCAGCGTGTGAGAAGCTGAGGCAGGAGGACCACCGTGAGTTCGAGGGCAGCCTGGGATACATGAGTTCAGAACCAGCCTGGACTACATAGTAGCAAGACCATGTTTTAAGAAACCATAAACCAAATGAATAAAAAATAGAAGATGAGGGGGATAAAAGAGACCGAACTAAGAGATCATGGGATGCGAGTTAGTTAACAGAAAAAACTAAACCTGAGGCTTTGACT